GCCATCCTGTTCACCATGCACGACAACCGCAGTCTCACCATCCACCAGGCCCTGCGGGGTGAGCAGGTAATGGAGGGGAGGCTAGGGTGGGGTGGAGGGGGCAGGACAGCGGGTGGGAAAGGCTGGGCTGGAGGGGTCTCTGGAGCTCGTCTCCTCCCTCCCAGTTGGACTGTCCCCAGACCCACAAACGTCCTTCCTGGTTGGGGGCCATATGCCTCCTTTACACCAGCCTTGGAGCTGGACTGTCCCCTCCCCAGAAAGCCAGGCCCTGGTTCCTGCTACAGCTAAGAGAACCTGGGAGAATTTGCTTGCCTCCATTTCACGGACCTCTTGTCTCTGGCACATTCGCCAACCTCTGCCCCTGACTGCCAGCTTCTCTCTGGTTGTGTCTAGAGTTCGGGGCTGGAGGCAGCATCTAGGATATGGCTCCCCAACCTGGGCTGCCAGGGTCCCTAGGCGTCCTGAAGGGGCAGTCATGTTCCTCAAGCCACCTTCATGCTGCCGGAGGTGAGAGGAGCTGTGCATCCACCCAGAGCGAGGGCCCATGGGTTCCCCAAGACACCAGCTTCTGTCCTTTTCCTGGAATGGTAACAATGGTACAGCTGCCGGTGCCCCTGCCCCACCTGGATGTGGCAGGCAACCGGGCCGTGTTGCTAAGAGTCTCGTGTTAGATGGTCATGAATGCAAACTGGAAAGCTATGCAAGTCATTGGTGGTGAAAAGATCGGAAAACAGGGTTCTGATCCAAGTCATTTCAATAGCCGAAATGCAACATAGCTTTTCCAAGGTTATATGGTGGATTCATGGCTGGGTCAAGTTCAGAATCCAGGACTCTTGGTGAGGCTCTCTGCACTATGCTACCTCCTGACAACCCCCGACAACCCCAAAACCAGGCCTCGGCCCCTCCTGCCTGGCAGCATCCAGCATCAGTGGCACCCTGGACCTGAGCTGGGCCCTGTCCAGGCCCATACTGTCATTCCTAGCTCGCCCTCGTGTCTCCGGAGCCTGGGAACAGCCCTTTCTCCTGCATCTTCTACTGTCCTTGGCCTGTCACCATGAGGACGAGTTCCTCACTGGGTCTAACCGAAGCCCCTCTTGCTGCAGGAGGCCATCATTCCACCGTTCCTCTTCCTGTCTCAAGGGCCCTGGTGGACCCAGGCGCTGCTCTGTCCCCCAGCCTCCATCCTGCCCGCCCACATTCCACCCAGGCCGGCTCTTCCAGGAATCCAAGGCTAGACCTTGAGAGCTGGAGGGAATTTGCTGATGAATTTATGGCATTGTTACTGCCCGGTTCCGCCTCCAACATCCGAATGAGAAACCGCAGTGCTGAAGGCAGCTAAATTAAGTGGATTCCAAATCACCGTGACCCACATAGCTGAGGCCACATATTTAGACAAACGTCTCCCTCCCCCTTCACTCATTTGCTCTGTCTGCCCCTTAATTACTTTATATAGGCACATCTCTTCCCTCCCCAACCCCATGTTTGTGATTTCCTTTTTCTCTCTTCTGTATTTTTATCTTTTTCCTCAGTTAAAAGCTTTTAATGCTTGAGGATAGATTTCTTCCGAAAGCATCCTAAGCCAGGAGATGGCTGGGGGAGGGAGAATTGGGGGCTCAGATGTCAGATCCAAGTTCCAGCCCACCTTGGCTGTGACCAGCCTTCTGACCTTGGGCAAGTGGCTCAAATTCTCTGAGCTTCAGTTCCTTCCCTGTGAAATGAGGACGATGATCCCCAATGGTAGCGTGAGGCTCACACGGGCTAACCAGCTAACCAGAGGCCGGAAAGGAGTCTCATGGAGCCTTGTCCATGGGAAGGGCTCCTCCCCTTTCCTAAGCCACCCACTGGTCCAAAACACACTTACTGAGTCCCTCTTCTGTGCCAGGCACGGTGCCCAGGCCTGGAGGGAACACAACGGGCACAGTGCCCATTCTCATGAGGCACCCGGTGGAGGGAGCAGGTGCTGGTGGGAAGAGTACAGGGCTGGGGGGCATCAGGAGGGGCACCCACTGCAGGGAGTGGAGTGGGGAAGGGCAGGATGGCTTCTAACAGGAAGTGACTGAGAAATGGGAGACATTACCTGGGGAGGGAGGAGGGGAGAGGGGTGAGGACGAGAGGAAAGTATGTGCAGAGGGAAGCCTGGAGCCCAGCCAGCGCCTGGGGTCCGTGGAGAAGAGACATCACTGTGATGTCAGGCCGGGGTGTGGGAGCCAGAGGGTGGGAGGGAGGCGGGTCCAGCAGTATCATGCTGAAGAGTTGGGACTTTTTCCAGAAGGCAAGGGAGCGGCATGGTCAGCTGCCTGAGGCCACTCTGGCTGCCCGTAGGGGTGGGTTGGAGGGGCCAGCCTGGAGTCAGGGGGCCCTTTGGAAGGTGCCTCACCTGGGGAATAAGCAGTGGAGGAGGGAAGTAGGTGGATTGGGGACGTGACTGGTGTACACCAGGCAGGACTTGCTGGGAGACTGCAGGTGGGTGAGGTGGAGGGTGGAGCCAGGCAGGACCCTCCGTGTGTGACTGAGTGGGTGGACGGCACCCTCACTTAAGTGGGGAGCATGGCTCCCAAGGTGGGAGGAGGAACACGATGAGTGCTCAAATACTGAAAATAAATCATAAGTCACCATCCAAGGTGATAATCCCAGAAGTATTTGGAACATTAAGAATTCAAAGGAGCTAAATGTCCACCAATTGATTAAACACATTTGGCACGTGCAGAATTTGGAATATTATAGAATCACCAATGATCATTTTGTAGAAAAAAAATATATAACATCATGGAGAAAATGCTCATGATCCATTGTTTTATTAAAAAATCAGTATATAAATTATATATATGGTATGACCCCAGACTGTACAAATAAAACCCAACACACACACACAAACAAGTCACACACCCTAGAGAAACAGACTAGAAGAAAACACCCTAAAACGTTCATGGTGGCTGTAGTTGGATGTTCGGACTATGGGTGACTTTTATTCTTTATATATTTATTTTGCTCATTTTTTTGCCATTATAATGTATCACAAACAATAAATGACAATCAATAAAATTAAGTAATGGTGAGAAAGAAGCACGGGCGGGATGGATAACAGAAGGGGAAGTCAGGACAAACTGAAAACAGGCGAGTCCACTCCTTGGTGGGTGGGGGGATGTGAGAAGGAAACAACCCTTCTCATTTGTTCACCAAAAATTCTGAGTCAAAGGCTGCCCCGGGTTTCCCTCCACCCACCTCGAGGCGAGGGCTCCCCGCAGCCCAGCCCCACTCCCCTCTCCCCATCCCCGTGCCGCAGATAGGCTCTTACTTTGGGAGTGAGATCACCTCGGTGGACACCGACGACGACGGTGTGACGGACGTCCTACTGGTGGGCGCGCCCATGTACTTCAGTGAGGGCCGAGAGCGGGGCAGGGTGTACGTCTACAACCTGAGACAGGTACGCTGCGTGGGCCCGGGCAGCTCTGCCGGGGCACCTGCCCCCGGCCTCCAGCGGGTATCCACCAGGGAAACTGGGTCACCAGAGAGGCCAGCGCCCACCTGCTGAGCCAGGCCAGGGAGAACAGGAACCTCCTCTGTCGCTGGGCTTGTGTAGCCGGAGAGGGGAGGCTGGGGGAAAGGGGGTGAAGAGAGGAGGCTGCAGGCCAGAGGGCATCATGACCCTCAGGGCCCCTGCCAAGTCCTCCTGAGCCTTTTCCTGCCCCTGGTTCTGCAGAACCGGTTTGTCTATAACGGAACGTTGAAGGATTCCCACAGTTACCAGAACGCCCGATTCGGGTCCTCCATAGCGTCGGTTCGGGACCTGAATCAGGATTCCTACAACGACGTGGTGGTGGGGGCCCCTTTGGAGGACAACCACGGAGGAGCCATCTACATCTTCCACGGCTTCCCAGGCAGCATCCTAAAGACGCCGAAGCAGGTAACGCTCCCCTGGTGAATGGATGGAGCTAGGACCGGGAGGCTTAGTGGCTCCTGCTCGGCCACGGCCCAGGACATTCTTCTGCTCCTCATACAGGAAAGGATTCCCATCTGTCCTAGCTCTACTTGCCTCAAGTCGAAATTGTGAAATGGGTGCATTTGTCTTCAGGACCTTCCCATCGCCCCTTTGGGCAACCTCTCTGCTTAACTCTGTCTCCCCAGCAACAACCACAAAATTCCAGGGACCCGAACCCCACTCCCCCTCCACATGTGTTCATGCCACTGCCTGCAGATGGAGAACTCCTGTCTGGGCTTGCTGTTCTCCGGAAATGCTTCATGCTGGAAACCTTGCTCACCTCAAAAGTGGCCCAGGTCCCATCCCCTCAGGGTCATCATTTTTGCCTACATATTTTCTTAGTGAAATAGTCTAATATACCACAGTTAGAGATGCTGATGGGTTACCTGCCAGGTAATATGCATTTACACTTAATGCGGAGCTCTTCGAAGACACAAGATCTTAATCCAAAAGGATGACTTAATGGTAGGAATTTCAGGCGCTGTAACAGACCAGAAGAGGCGATAGCTTTGGGCTGGGGAAGCTTCCTGATGGTTCAAACAGGCTCTCTCCAGCTTTTTCTTTTCACTCCCTGCAGAGAATCGCTGCCTCAGAGCTGGCTCCAGGCCTCCAGTATTTTGGCTGCAGCATCCATGGGCAACTGGACCTCAACGAGGACGGGCTCGTGGACCTGGCGGTGGGCGCCCTTGGCAATGCTGTGATTTTGTGGTTGGTTCCCCTCTTTTCTTGACTCTTGGGCTCTCTTGAGGGTCACGATGGACACAGGGTTTAAAAGATATGCATCAGGATCTTTGTCCCTTGTGTTCCATCATTGTCAGCCAAAGTCACCCTGTTCTGATCCCATCATGATCACAAACCTCCTTTTTATGGAATCACTGTACTCTTCTCAATGGAGTTCTAGGATTTTAGAGCAATTTAGTGTCAAAAAGCCCCTCTTAGAATTTGTCCTAAAAGTTCTGGCTACTTGGGCATTTCTTCCACTTCAGCTTTTCAAGCTCCTTAAAGTGACACACTGAGGATATTCTTATCAGCTGGGAGGCTCTCCCTTGTCCCCTAGCGTGAAAGAAAGTTTATGTAACACAGAGATTTGTGTCTTCCAAACCCCTTCTGACTTCTTGTTGCCTTTTCAGGGCCTTATTTCTGCACCACCCCATCAGACGTTTGCCATATATCAGCATCCAGGGTCTCTCTTTAGTGATGGCCCACAGCTTAAAAAAAAAAAAAGCTTTCTAAAAGTCCATGTATTTTACCATGTGATGTCTTGGCTACTTTTTGAGCCAAGAAATTTTTTACTTTGAGCTTTTTTTCATATATGTTGATGAGATATTTTTCATCATAAGTACAACTTAAGGAAAATTTGGAAAATAAAGAAACGAATTGCTCAGAGTTTCATCACCTTAACGTTACCACTATTCACATTTTGGCTTATTTCCTCCCAACCTTTTTCCGCCTGCATATAATTTTATGTAAACACAATCATGATTTTCATACAACTCAAAGAAGGCATTAAACAGACTTTTTTGAAAACATTTAAAAGGCATTAAATGTGACTTCCAAGGGAGATACAGAAGGAGAGGGTATGCTCTCGGTCCTCAAGAATATTAGAATCCAACTGGGAAACGTCCTCGTCCAGGGTCCCTAGAAAACAGCCTGATGCTGAAGCTTATGCATCAGTGCTTTGGGCAGGGGCCTCAATCCCAGAAGCAGAAGTGAGGGCCAAAGGGGAGTGAAGAGGAAAGGAGAGCAGATCTGAGCGAGTGGAGGGTCACTGAACCCGCCGCGGGCTCACAGTCAGTGCAGCTCCTTGCTCACAGTATCTCCAGAGAGGCGGACACAACCTCTGCTTCTTGCAACAGCCCGTCCTAGGGGAGGAAGCGGGAGCAGTATATCTGAGGCTCCTCGTGTCCCCTGCTTGCCGTGGCCAAAGCTTCAGCTGCCGCATAGCTGCAGGTGGTGTCTCCTGGCCCTCTAGGCAGCACTGGGGAAGCAGGGTCTCTGCCAGGCCAGCCCACCAGCGCACGGACACCACGGCCTCTCGGAAGGTCTGCACTGATGTGGGGGCTCTTAGGTCTGTGGTGGCGGCGGCTGCAACAGCTGATTGGGCAGTAAAGGTATTTGCTGTGCTGGTTCCAGCCAGGAAGGAATATAAGTGATCAAAACCCAGCATAGGGGGTAGACACGGCCTAGCGGGTCCTTAGGGTGACACATAAACTAAGTCCTTTACAGGAAACAATATATGCGCACAGGAGCTCGTGCATACACACACACCAGGAGAATCAGTCTCGCAGAAAGGACTGGATCAATCTCTAGCTTTTGAGGTCTAAACCTACGTGCTACCTGAATAGTGATGAAATTGCGGGCTGGAGCCCTCTGGGGAGACTTTGTGGTCCGACCCCACGGATCTGAAACATGACTGCCCATTAGGATCACTTCTCATTGCCCAGACTTTACCCAGATGACTTAAAGCAGAATTTCTGGGGGAGGGGCCCAGGCAGCAGTAATTTTTAGACTGGCCAGGTGTTTCCATTAGGCAGGCAAGTTTGAGAACCACTTTTGTAAGCTATTACATTTACACAGCGCTCTACACTGTGAAAGGGCGTTCTCACTTACTGCTTTGATTCTCACAGCTCCCCATCAGAGAGATCAGGTGACCTGCCCAAGGTCCCACCAGAAACCACTGGAGCCAAGACGCAAATCCACCCTTTTCACTCCACAGCTCAGGGGAGGCACCATCCATCCCCCTGATGCTAAGAAGAGCAGAGTATTGGCACAGATAATCACGCTAAAACTCGGAAGCATCTAAACCACACTACACTCGTTTCTTTTCACATAAACACATGGTCTGGAGAGGCAATACGTTTCCTTCCCTAACCATGTCTGACCTGGAGCAGTAGAAGAGTAAATTTGCATTTCTTTGGCTACCTGGATGGGGTCGTGTGGGGTGGATGGGGGGGCAATCTCTAGAACAGTGAGTGGTTCTCTACATTAGCTGCACACTGGAATCACCTGGGAAGACCGAACACCTTGCTCTTCAAAGCGTGGTCCACGGACCAGCAGCATGGCATCACCCGAGAGCTGCTCGAAATGCAGAATCTGTGCCGACCTATTGGATCAGGATCTGCTTGTACAGATCCCCAGGAGACGTGCAAATGGATTAAAATCTGAGAAGCACTGCTCGAAGCCATGTTGATGCCGACCCTGACTTAATTTGACTTGGAATGCAACTTGAGCATCAGGATTTTTTTAAAGCTCTCCAGATTATTCTAATATACATCCAGGGCTGGGAACCACTGCTCTATGGTCTGCAGCGAGCGCGGCCCCTGGGAAAATGATGAAAGGCTGCCTCAAGGGGCGGTGAAGTTGCTGAGCCCGCCCCTCAGCACCTGTGCACTTTCTTGCCCAATCCTTTAACATCTAGAGCCCCTCTCCGCCCCGCCACCCCACCCCACCTCACCCTCCACTGGTGGTTTAGCAGATGCCATTCCCATCTGGCTCTCCACCTTTCCCCCAGGTCACAGCAGGGCAGCCTGCGCCCCGCCCCACCCCAGCTACTTGCGCTTCTTCTCCAGGTCCCGCCCCGTGGTTCAGATCAATGCCAGCCTCCACTTTGAGCCGTCCAAGATTAACATCTTCCACAGGGATTGCAAACGCAGCGGCCGAGACGCCACCTGCCTGGCCGCCTTCCTCTGCTTCACACCTGTCTTCCCGGCAACCCATTTCCAGACGGCGACAGTTGGTAAATCAGGCCCCTCCCCGCAGCTCAACCTCCCTCATGGACTTTGCAATTGCTCTGTTTCAAAACATGGGCTTTGGCTGAAATGGGTTTTAAGTGCCAGGTCACACTGAGAGCCACCTTTGATCACTGCTAGATGCCCTCTCGCTGCAGAGAGGGGATGTCATGCCAGGGCAAGGAGGGCAGTGAGCAGCGGTGACCAACTGGAAGAGGCCAGGGAAGAAGGAAATAGTCGGATGCAGAGTTTGGATCCCAACAGGAGACCGAAAGCAATGGAGCAAACTAGGGGGTGGAAATCATGAAGTCAGCCCGGATGCAGAGGAAGAGTCAGACCCAGGAGGGGGAGCGGGAAACCAGGGGGTCGGGCAGATGAAGATCCTAAGAGCAGTGGTCAGTGCTCAGAGTGGGCATGAGTCTGCGGCAGGGCAGTTTCCTTCTGAGTGTCCATCACTTCCAGCCAAGGCTGGTGAGACACGTGCCCATGGCGGCTGTGGGCCCTGGAAGTGACAGCTGCAGGTTCTGGACGGGGCTGGGCTGTGCAGGAAATGGGGACCGCAGAGAGCTTCTCAGCCAAGGCGCAGGACCGACCAGACGAAGAAGAAATGGGTGTCCCGGGGGGGAGATGAGAACAAAGGCGGGCCTGGGGGGCTGTGCTCTTCTTTCAACTTCTATCTATGAAAGGAGAACCATGCCAGAACGGAGCACCCAGAGGGCTGGCTGGAGCCTTTCCTGGGTTTAGCAACAGAAGGGGAGGAGGCTGCAGGCCTTAAACCCCGGAACGGAGCGTGAGGTTTGAGGAGCTGGTGGGAAGGGCCTGGCCAGCCCTCCCTGCTGTGATGGGAACTGCTACCCGCTGAGGTGCTGACCCAGACCTGATCAGACCCCAGAGCCGAGGGCAAGAGAGAAGGGGAAGGGAGAGGTGGAGAGGTGTGCTGACTCCAGGAGGGGCTCGAATGGGGGCTTCGCCCTGACCCCTCCTCCTGTCTCCCCTCCTCTCCTCTCCTACTGTGTTCACTTTCCCCTCCACTTCTTCTTCTTCCTCTCTCTCTTCTGTCAGCCCATCATCCTGTCTCCTCCTTCTGCCTCCTTCTTCTCTTCGGTTCCTTCCTTTTCCACTTTCTCACTGCATCGCTTACTCTCTCTCTGGGGGTTTCCCGCCCACATTGGGCCTCGTGAGGGGAGAGGAGCAGCTCTTCCCTGGCCAGCCTGGAGGGCTTCCTGAAGGAGGCTGCCTTTCCAGAGGCTATTTTTAAAGAGACACAAACAGTCTTGGGTGGAAATGTGGCTCCAGCTTCATGGTCTTGCCCTGTCCCTCCTGCAGGCATCAGGTACAACGCCACCATGGACGAGAGGCGGTACACGCCGCGGGCCCACCTGGATGAGGGCGGGGACCGATACACCAACAAGGCTGTCCTGCTCCTCTCGGGCCAGGAACACTGTGATCGGATCAACTTCCATGTGCTGGTGAGCCTGACGCCCAGCTGCCCCACTGGCAGAGCCCGAACTCCTACAGGATGGGGACACAGAGCTGGAGGAGGTGCTGCCGGGGCAGAGGCAGAGGGCTCAGCTAGTGCCAGGCTGGTTCTGAGCCCCCAGAAGCCCTCAGGAGGCCCAGCCAGGGGGCAGTGTCCTGGACCTTTGCCACCCCATATTCATGCCCCAGAGAAAAGGCTACTGGGACACTACCTACCACCTCCGGGTACCCTCCTCCAGGACCCCTTCTTCCCCAGCTCTCAGATGCCCGCCATTTCTTTAGCAGGGGATGAAATCTGAGGGGGGAGGTGAGCTCAGTGAGGTCTAGTGGAGAGAAGGCGTCAGCCAGCGGGGGCCGCGGCTGGAAAGGAAGGGATAGGCAGGCACTGGCTAAAAATGAAGCCCAGGTAAGGCAGGCCAATGGCATGGACAAGCAGGGAGGAGGGACAGAGAGAGGCCAGCCCGTCAGAGAGGAGAGCCAGGAGGGCCTGGTGCCCTGTTCTACGGATAAGGAAGTGGATGAGAAATTTGCCTCATCCAGAAACTTCAGATACCCAGGCCACAGCTCCAGCCTCAGAGACAAAAGCAGGGGGCACTCAGAGACCACCTGACCCCAGTAGTTCAAGGGCCGAAGCTCAGAAAAGCAAGAGAATATGAGAAGTCCTCATGTCTGTTAATACAGTGCCCCCTCTGACATGTTTGTACTCTGGTTCTCAGTGTGGTCCTCCGGACCAGCAGCATCCCCATCACCTGGGAACTTGTTAGAAATGCACGTCTCAAGTCCCTTCCCAGAAGCACTGAGTCAGAAGCTCTGGATGTGGAGCTCAGTGTTGTCATAGGCCCCCTGGGGATTCTGAGGCAAGCTCAAGTTTGAGAGCCACTGCCTTGACACAAAGGAGCCACTCATGTCAGGATGTGGGGTCCACGGGGGAGATTTTTTAGGCAGCTCTAAGCATCCCCTTCTTTACCATCTATACATAGGACCAACCTAAATGCCCTGATTCTGTTCACTTGTTTGTTCATTCATTGATGAGCACATTTATGAAGGCCTGTCACTGGGCTAGGACTGTGCTGAGAGGCTCCTGAGGGAGAAAGACTGACACACGATCGGATAGTTCGAATGCCAGAGAGAAGTGAGGGTAACAGGTCTGGACAGGGTGTGCGGATGGGGCGCTGCCCAGCTTCCTGGATGCCGAGGTGTTGGGGGATGGGTGCCTGGCCTTAAGGATGACCAGAAGATTGGGGAAACTCCAGGCAGCCCCAATGGCCCCTCTCCACAAGGCACACTCTTCAGCTATGGACCCCACTGAGAACCTCCATCCGCCCAGGACAGCTCCTCTACCCCAGACCCATCCTGAGGGCCAAGAGGGTGGCTGCCCTCCCGGCTTAGGGAAATGGAAGTTCTCTCTCAGCGGTCCTGGCCCAGAAATGGATGTTCCTCCTCCCTCACCTCTATCCTCATCTCCTCACACACAGGAGACCGCTGACTACGTGAAGCCAGTGACCTTCTCAGTCGAGTATTCCCTGGAGGACCCCGACTACGGCCCCATGCTGGACGACGGCTGGCCCACTACCCTCAGAGTCTCGGTACATCTGGCACACAACCCTGGCACATACCCCACCCCACCCCACCCCTCCTCCCAGAAGCCCAGACCCAGAGTGTGACAGGCACAAAGGAGTTCTTCCCCCAGCACGCCCCCCGCCTCCTGCCCGGCAAACCCACACAGGGCTCCATCCCTCCTCCCTTGTGACCCGTGCTGAACAATTTCTCCAGGGTAAGGACCAGGCCTGCTATTCGAGGTTCCTGCTTATCCCCAGCATAGGGTGAGCTCTGAGTGGGTCCCAGAGAATCTCAGGACCAGAAGGAACCTTAGTTCTCCATTGCCCGCCTCCCTCATTTATAGATGAGGATATTGGAGGCGAGAGAGAGTGATTCAACCACTTACAGCCTGGTCTGTGGCTTGTTGAATGACTGACTAACAATCTTCCCAGCCCGCTCCTCAGTGTCCCAATAATAAGTGGTTTTAGCCTCATCGTTGGGTCTGGCCCCACCCCTCAATCACATTTTCTAATCCCTGGCTCTAGGGCTCTAGAATTTTCTGGTATCTAATATTCAGATACTCCCTGCATCTGAAGGCCACTCAAAGAAAATGTCAGACAGTTATCACTTCTGTCCGAGCTGTGCTGGGAGAGCAGGCAAAGTTTGTAAAATGGACTATCTAATCCCTGAACCCTGAGGATTTAGGAAACAACTTTAAAATATACCACAATGCTCTTAAGACCATGACCTGTGAGGTCCAGTCTCTGAGTACTGTCTCTGAGAATTATATAGAATCCAGCCATCAAATAATAATTTCAGAATTATTCACATTCTTACTTGTATTTCTCCAACATAAAAGGACTGTGTAGTCAACAGCAATGCTTCTGAAAATCCCCTCTCTGATCTTGTTCACCCCATCACCCCCTCAGCTCCTCCGCAGTCCCCCTTCCCGGACCTCCCACACTCCACCGCCTAACCCTCTACCATCTCACCTTCTCCCTTTCCTCCTGTGATTCTGAATCACAAATGCATAAGAGAGGCTGTCTTCAAACGCAGTTCAACAGAGAGGGAGGAATGGACTGGCAAAGCTGCCATCCTCGTTAGTGAGCCAGGAGAGGGCAAAAGCTGGGAACACCGAGTCTTAATATTTTTTCCCACCACAATAATTACAAAGCCACTGCAGCAAATGAATAAGTACATTGAAGCATGTTGAAGCCCATGAGGCAGATGAACACGCAGGGGACTCTCCGCCCTGATGCTGATGATAGTGATGCAAGGTGGTGGTAAGGGTCACAGGCCAGGTCTAAGACGGGAATGAGCTCAGAGGAAGTGTAATCGAGCAATCAGATGATCAGGCAGGGGGGCTTCCTGGAGGAGGTGGCTTTCAACTGGACCTTAAACGATGGACAGCATTCAGATACGAAGAGATGGGGAGGGTGGGCTTTTACTCCAGGAAAGCTGTCAGTGCAACCAAGGTGTGGAAGTGGGGAAAAGGAGGGTGAAGCGACGTGTAAAGAAAAGGTTAGGAATAGAGGTGAAAAAGACAGTCTGGGGCAGGTTATTGAGGGCTTTGAATAGCAGATAATGTCTAGAAATCTTGTTAATCTGGATTTCTAGCCCCCAGCAAATTGGAAACATTCTCCCCATCACTCTGCTGCAAATCCTTCCTTAGCATCTGCTCGGTGCCCACCCTGTTCTAGAGCTGCATAGCTCACTCACCTCTTGGGGGAATGAGCCGGTCCAGGTAATTGAGTGTAGCAATTGCTTATCACATTAATTATTCCTTTTAATCAACTGGATAGAAATTTTTCTGAAGGTGATTAGTCTTCACACCTCTTACAGTATGCTGGGCAGGGGTGGGAGATATTTTATTGGAGACTTGAAATCCCCAAGATGAACATGGGCGCTAGAATACAGAGGACCCCCCAAGGGCTACCAAGCGTCTTGAACTATGTCCAGTCACCGAGTGGCCCCACTTTGCCCTACTTCCTATGGCTCTGCATCGTCTTTGTGGCTGCTGTGGCAGTGTGCCTGCTTCCAGCTGCAAGCCCACCAGGTGAGGGGGAAGCCAAGGGGTGGGCTTGATAGAAACGTGTCTAATGTCAGAGCACGTGGATCTGAGTGAGGGCTAGGGGGCTCACCTTTGAGAAAAGATAATGAATCTAAGACACACATGGCCTTTGTGACACCCGCTTCCCCTCCCCTGGTTTGGGCTGTGTTCTTGGTAGGGACAGTTGTGCTCCTCACCCCAGACTTGAATACCCCTCGACGGGCCACAGACGCTTCAAACTCAACGTGCCCCAAAATGGAGCTCCTCCACTCAACCCCTCCGTTTATAAGTGAATGGCGCGGCCATCCTTCCAGACACTGAAAAAGAAACTCAGCCAACATTCTGGACCCTGTTCTCCCTTAGCCTTGACGAACTCCAGGTCCTATTGATCCCACCTCTGAGGTCCCTAACCTGTCTTCTCTTCACACCCATGACCACACTGACACCATCAGCATCACTTGCATGAACGTTGCAGCAGCCTCCTCAGTGGTCTCCCTGCCTCTAGTCTTGACCCTTCCAGTCCATCCACCCGCAGCAGCCAGAGGGAGCTTTCAAAATATGAATCTGGCAGGACACTCCCCTGCCAAAAGTGGACGATTCCTATCAGTTGCAAGGCATGACCCCAAATCCCTGTGAGAACTGGCCCCTGCCCATCCCTCCATCTCCTCCACCCCTTACTACAGCAACACTAAAACTACCCATCACTTCCCAAACTCACTACACTGCCTCATGCCTCAGGACCTTTGCACAGGCTGTCCCTTCCTCCCAGATTTCCCTCTCCTCCTGGTTCATCTATCTAACTTGGACATCCTTCAGAACTCTGACCTATCGTCACTTTCCTAAAGTCTTCTCTGACCATCTACAAGCCAAAATAACTGTTTCCTCCCCTCTGCCTCTTCTATTCCTCATACAGATTTCTATTTTTCCTTTTTTGCACATTTCATATTATAATTATTTGTTCACACACCAGTCTTCCCCATGAGCTGGGAGCAGAAGCTGTGTCTTCCTCATTCTATATCCCCAGGACCAACAGCCTTGCCCCCCACATAGCAGATGATCAGTGAGTGTTGGCTGGAGCTGCTCTGCTGGCTGAGCGCGGTGTTCTGTGCTGTCAGCTCAGCTAGGAACTGAAAGTGGCCCAGGAGGAGTTGAGTTTTCAGCCATGTTTTAAAGAAAGGAGTGTCTATGCAAAAGCATGAGGAAAAGCAGTGTGGTGTCTGTGAAGAGGGCAGAAAAGAGAAAGCCCTTGTCTGGTGTGGCAGAGAGAGGAGCTGGTGTGCTGGGGGTGAGGGACGGCCCGCAGCAAAGAGGGCTGGAGGCTGTGGGCCCTCACCCAGCCGCCACCCCTGGCTCTCCCTGGCTCAGGTGCCCTTCTGGAACGGCTGCAGTGAGGACGAGCACTGTGTCCCGGACCTCCTGCTGGACGCCCACAGTGACCTGCCCACAGCCATGTGAGTTGGCTCCTCCCCACCCCTGCCCTGACTCCTCTGCCTTCCCTGCTGGTGGATGGGGGGCTCCAGGGCCTTGGATTATTTCCTGCACACCCTTCACACAGGCAGCGTGGAATGAACACTGGACTTGGAAGCTGGGTCTAGCCCAGGCCTCTAACTCCTCTAACTCCTGTGTGACCTCAACAAGTCCCTTCCCCTCTCTGGACCTCAGTTACCGCCTCTGTAAAATGAATACTACTAGTCTAATCCAACCTCCTCTAAGTTTGTTTAGAGAAAGGAATCCTTTCTTTGGAGCCTGCAATACAAAACAGATAAAAGGTAGAGACCAGAGACCTAGAGATCTGGGTGCTCATCCTCCAACCCCCAGACTAGGTGACCTCTAAGGTCCATTGACTGACACTTGGGCTCAATGCAGAGGATACTAGCAGAGGATGAGCAGGGTGCCCACAATCCCCTGGAAGAAACAAACTAGCATACAAGGAAAAATAATGAACACATCCTATCTTAAATTTCTGTAATACATTTTCAGATAATTTACGCTCAACTTTTATCCAACTATGAGATGATTTAAGTAGAAGACATACATACCATGACATATGCAATAAATAGAAACAGCACATCCAAACGTTGTAGAAGGATGAAGAAGCAAATATTCTAACCATCTAGGCTAATAATCAGGATTGTCTCTACATTTAGCTCTGAGCTTCCTGGCAGCCAAAGCCAAAAGGGAAACACGCTGAGTAGAGAGGTGATCCATGAGTAATGAGGTCTACCCCTGCATTCCCCGTTCCATCTGCCTGATCCTGGTGGTCTCTCTCCCACAGGGAGTACTGTCAGAGGGTGTTGAGGAAGGCTGCCCAGGACTGCTCCGCATACACACTATCCTTCGACACCACGGTTTTCATCATAGAGAGCACGCGCCGGCGGGTGGCGGTGGAGGCCATGCTGGAGAACCAGGGCGAGAACGCCTATAGCACCATCCTAAATATTTCACAGTCAGCAAACCTGCAGTTTGCCAGCTTGATCCAGAAGGTAAGACCTTTCCTGCCCAGCCTGCCTGAGGCGAAGGGCAGAGGCAGGAAAGGCGGGTCCAGGCAGGGGGCCTGGCTTCACGTGAGAATCACCTGGGAGCTTAAAGATACCTGCGTGCAGACTTCTCTCGGAGAGTCTGATTGGTCTGGCCCGGCGTGGATCCTGGATCCCCGTGCTTTTCCAGCTGCCAGGGTGACGTCAGTGTGCAGCCAGGGCTGAGAGCCGTGGGTGGAGGGGAGTCTGAGCCCTTCCAGAACGTGGGGAGGAGTGTCCTTCAGCCTGTGTCCTTGGCTCGTTAGGGGCATGCGTGCACACACACACACCCCCCGCGTGTGCACACCACCACTTACACACCCTCTACCTACAGTTCATCCTCTAGGCTTTCTCAAAAGGGTCCTTTCCTTCTCACTAAAATCAGAACAGGTTACTCCCCACTCTCAAACTTCCAATCAGTCCTAGTTGCTTCCACAACAAATTCTAAACTCCTTAGTGTGGCATTCAAGGCCCTTCTTGCTTCCCCACCCACCACCTTCCCCTTCTGCCCTCACCCCCCCACACCCGAAGTCCCACCGGCCACCACTGTTTCCCAGCACACCTGCTCCTCCACACCGAGGCCCTGCTCCCCACGGTCCCCTGCCTGGGACTCCCTCCCTCCTCTGCCCAACAAGCTCCCCTTCCTTCTTGGTTTCCGCTTACAACGTCCGGCACTGTGCTCAGCTCCTGCATGCATTAACCCTCACAACAACCCCGAGAGGTAGTGTTAGTACTGGGGGCGGGGGGTGATGGTGGCATCCCCATTTTACAGAGGAAGAAACTGAGGCACAGAGGGGGTTAAGTAGACCACACAGCTAGTAAGTGGCGGAGCGGGATTCCCGCCCAGCAGCTGGCTCCTGAGCCTGCACTTTGTGACAGAGCATCGTCCTTGTGTTACGCTCTCTGGGGTACCACCTTGAAGCCCCAAAAGGCCACACAGGGCCTTGCAGCCCCGCACAGCTCTCGGGCGCAGCCCTGTGTGTGCTCTGAGGATGTGGTCAGAGTCTGAGGGCTGCCCTGTCGTACCTCAGCTCCCGGAGGGCGCGTGCCATTTTAGCCGTGTCTGTCCCCGGGGCCGGGCCAGGGCTGGGCACGTACAAGTCCCTCAAGACATGTTTATTGAGTAAACCCAGGACATGACTGTCATGCGTGGTGCTGGGGGGTCCCAGGTCCCCTCAGACACAGTCTCTGTCCTCACAGATCTCAGAGTGTCGATGTGGAGCCCAGGGTGCAGGGCGGGACAGGTGTCGGCCCTCCTGTCCTCACCTCCACTGCAGAACCGCTGCCCAGCACCCCCTCCCCCAGTGCAGAACACACACACACACAGCAGCACTTCCTGTAGCCAGGAGGGGAAGCTGACTGGAGTGAGGCCACCCCAGGAAAGCGAGGGGCTGCCTGCTTCTCCGTGTCCTCCCTCCCCCTCGGGGGGCTCTGTGTCCTCAAACAGACCTCAAGGTGCCGCCTGAATGAGGGCCTGTCTGTGGCCAGGGCTGGGCCCCAACGCACCCCTGCTCCATGGCCTAGAGGGAAGATGAGGGGCCCATGTGATGGGCTTTCGAAGTCTTCTCCTGCCCAGAGATTTTGTATCTGTCTGGATTTGGGGTATTTAGGAAAATTGAGGCCCAAACCTGCATCCACATTGTCCTGCTTCCCTGGCCAGACCTTACAATCCTGTGCCTGTTCATAACCCTAGGGGGAAGGAATCATGAATTTTGCTTCTGTGGCACAGAAGGGCTTTGGGAACTGAGTGGAGGCAGAGAGAAGCGGGAAGGGTGCTCTGTAAAGTGGTGCGCAGGGCTAGCCTGCAGCCTGCCTCCTTCACAGATGCCCCCGTCCATCCCAGTCCAGGAGATGCTCACGGCCAGAGTCAGCACCCCCTCCCCTGTCTCCCCCACCATCCGGCCAAGGGGAGCTCTCGTGGAGGACGCACTCCTCTCAGCCACATACAAGTGCGTTAGTATGACTACACACATGCAAACCTACACAAACCTACAGATACAGCCAAGGAAACACACATGCTCTGTACACATGCCACCAGGCACATGCAACACACATGCACCAACATGCAGACCCACACACACAGACATGCCTTTACATCCACATGCAAATGCGGGCCCAGAGATATAAGCAGGCATGTGTCCAGGCGGTGCCCAACAGTGCAGAGCCCAAGACAGGTACAAATAATCATCATGATTTGTTGTTAGTGCCATCAAATCCATTCCAACTCCTGGCAACCCTGTGGACAGCAGAGCAGAACCCTGCCCGGTCCTTTTGTGCCATCCTCTCACCTTCCTGTGCTGTATCAGACAATGCTCTGCTGCTGTTCATAGGGTTTTCATGGCCAAT